AAGGCTAGCATTTTATCGGATTGTTTGCATGAAATCTATCGCTATTATGAAATACTCGGTGAAGAACAATATGAATTACACACAAGATGGCTGTGGAGGAGGCTATGGAAAGGCATAATCTCATCAAGTAATTGTAAATCAACTGCAATTCTGACAGCAATGATGAGCAATTCTGCTTCGCACTTCGGGGGCGGAAATGGCTTTACTGGGGGGGACATATTCTTTCCCTGGGGGGGGGGGGCAATTGCCCCCCCCCAGATATATAGTTAAAAAAAGGCACTGAAATGCCTGCATAGTCCTCTTGGTGTTTCTCTATATATTTGATTAATTTTTTTAATTTAGTAACAATATGATTTGGAACCTCTACAGTCGAACGAAATATGTCGAGTCTACTGTTTAGATCTGAAATCTAAATTTCCACGAAGCTATTCAGGTGATTGCGACACCACAATTGAAAACAATCTTTGAACATATAAGGTGAGAATAGTAATTCGCGATCGTTGTCTATAATTTCATAACCGAGGTAATTCCCACCGTTTTTTCGGTCATTTAAATGTATTTGGATGTGTACGAGTTCGTAGTGTTCCATTTACTTATTCGATGTTGACTTGTTCACATGTGTATATAAAATGGGTCAAAGATTGTGTGCGGGTAGTAGTGATACACCGTTGGTGACGTTTGATTGTACGTTCGTAAACGTTAATCGTAGTCCTAATGTTAATATTGATGTTACAGATAGCGGTTCTGTAAACGGTGAAGAGGGCGAAACAAAAGATTTGACTCGTTACAAACGGTGTTGTTGTCTGTGATGGCGTCGTCGACAACATCGCGTAAACGAAAACGAAATGAAGAGGATGAAGATGAAGAGAAACAAGGAAGCCCTTTCGAAATCAGTGACGAACAACTGGAGGACATAGTACGTATGATTCGTACTACTCGAAACACCCGTGTACCCGCGCAAATATTTAATGCTGAATTAGTACGTGTGAATACACGTTTTAATCATAGCGAATATATATACAATATTAATGTAAGCAGTCATAATATGAGTACACTGCCCGAACTTCTTGATAATATGCATAGGGTTTCTCAGTATTTAATTAACGTTATACTGAATTATAAAGCTAAATCGAGTAAGGACAAAGCACATTTCTATATCTCTAAGGCACCGAAAACACCGTTTTCCACAGCTATTCTTAATGTTGAAGATTTTACATCGCAATTATTTTTTAATATTTTCGAACGACACATGCAAAGCAATGCGGAAGAAAGAGGTGATCAACAACGGATGGTAGAGACTCGTGAGTATCTATATTTTTCTCAACACGTACGTCACATCAAAAGCGGTAAAACGTCAGCGCACCTCATCGCGTAATGTGTATAAATATATAGGCAAAAATACTAGCGAAGCGGGTAGTGCACGACGTACGGTACAGAAACATGGTCGGGAAACTAGGAACGGGGTATTTCAGGTGGTTGCAGGTAATGTGAAACAAAATTGTTTTCAATACGCTATACTTGTGGGTAAATCCTTTTTACAAAAAGACGAACGATTTAAAATACTCCATAGCAATAGAAACGCTGATCTTATGAAACTATATACGTGCGACGAAATTACGAACGTCTACGAAACTGCAGGCGTGTGTGTTGGTCCGGTACGAGTTGAGCAATGTCGATTGTTTTACGAAAAATATTTATTTCCGGATAAAATTGATCTTGTTGTCTTTTCAAAATCTCAACATGATAATATTGTTTATGATTCACGACTAAATACCGACGGTGTTCTCCATCGTATTACAAACAACGTGATTTTTTTATGGTTAAACGACGCACATTATGGTTTGATTTTATCGCCAAGAACCTTTTCACGTTTTAATCTAGCACGATTTTGTTTTCAATGCATGCGGTATTATAGAAATACTGAAAATCATCAATCGCACGTGTGTAGAACCGAATTTACCTGTAAGAATTGTTATTCGCACGACAATACTTGTGCTACAGAGCATGATTTTAAATATAATATAACGAATGTCATGTGCTATTCTATAATCGTAATTGTTTTCAAAAGCATTTAACGCAACGTGTTTTTCGTAATTCCTGGGGTACATACGTTACGCCGTGCATGTATTTTTTCTTTTGTCTTACATGTCATAAGAGGGTAGCTAGGTCGTATGCAGAAAATGAGTACAAAAAAAGCCACAAATTAAAGCATAAATGTCATCAGTATTATTGTGCACATTGCAATAAGATAAAGGATAAAAATCATCAGTGTTACAGAAAATACATAAAATTCCGAAAAAATGTGATTTACCCCTTACTTTATTTTTACGATTGTGAAACACGTCTTGATCCTTCGACTGGCTATATGCTTCCTTTCTATATTGTGTTGTACAAAAAGTTTGTGATCAATGTGTTCAAAAAGCGTTTGAAAAATCCACAGAGAATTTTATTGCGCACAGTACGGACGACGCTCATTGCGATATCAGCGTGAAAAGTGTACCGTCGGTGGTTATCGTCAATATGTTTTCGAGAACAGCAACGAAAACATCGTGAATATTTTAATAGATTTCATGTTAGATCAACCCGAAGATAGCGTGTGGATTGCACATAATGGGGGAAGATTCGACAGTGTTTTTTTATTACGTGAATTGCTTACTAAACGAGGAATTGTACCCAAACTAATCATGAACGGTAATAAGATAATGTATATGGAAATTGAACAGCGAAAAATAAAAATTATCGATAGTTATTTGTTTTTAGCCATGCGTTTAAGTAAAATTCCCGAAGCAATGGGTATTTGCAAGACTCATAAAAAATATTACGGGTATTTTTCCATTTTATGATCGTACATGTCATACGATTGCCGGTCTCGCGTTGAAAATTTATCGTAGTAATTTTTTAACAGAAAACACAATTGGGCAAATTCCTGCTGCGGGTTATGGTGGGAATGTCAATCAAAGTGTGATCGCTTTATGTTGGCTAAACGAATTTGAGAAAGAACTTGAAGAGATCGGGCATACACTAAGAAGTAAATTGTCGCCCGAAGGCGAGATGTCCCTTGTAAATCGACCCGTTGACGGATACTGTACAGAAACTCGTACAATCTATCAATTTCACGGTTGTTTTCTTCATGGTTGTAATAAATGTTTATTTTCTACGCGAATGAACTCGGCGTACGACACAACTTTTTGAAAATTCAGGTTATCGTGTTATTGAAAAATGGGAATGCGATTATATGCGTGAGGGTAAAATAACAAGAAGTCTAATTACGCAATACGTCAGAGTAAATATTTTGTTTATTTAAATTTAAATGCACGCGATGCGTTATTTGGTGGGCGTATGTCGCCGGCTAAATTATATCATGATTCTTTGATGCTTAAAATTCGTTATGTGGACTTTACGTCTTTATATTCGTTTGTTCAGAAAAAAATATCGTTATCCGACGAAACATCCCGAGATTATTCGCGGTGTGATGAAATGTAGTAAAATTGATGTGCACAAAATTTTCGGATTAATTAAATGTAAAATTTTACCGCCGAGAAATACGTTGTTTCCCGTTTTACCAGTTCGTTTCCATTATGTGCCACGTGTGCCGAAAAACAACAATGTACACAATGTAAACACACCGATGAACAGCGTGCACTATATGGCACGTGGACAAGTGTCGAAGTACACAAAGCTTTGGAGCACGGATACAAGATACTTACGATTTATGAAATTTATCATTTTCCCAATAGTAAAAAAAATTTCGATTTATACGTTGATACGTTCATGAATTTAAAACAAGAAAGTAGCGGCGTACCTAAAACCTGTTTTAAACCCGACGGTGAATTAGACGAAGTGAAATTACGTAAATACATTGATGAATATGCCGAGCATGAACATGTCTACTTGGATCGTGCCAACATAAGTTATAATCCGGGTCAAAGAACGGTTATGAAAGCTTTGTTAAATTCGTTATGGGGTAAATTGGCACAAAACGAAGACACGAGCATTGTATCGTCTGTGGACTCATTATAGGAATTACTCACGCTCGTTAACGATCATAGTATTGAAGTAACATCCTTAGATTTTATAAGCGATAATATAGCTCGAACAACACATCGTAAATAGGGTCGCTAGTAACCTTGGGTAATCGTAATGTGATCTTTGCCTCTTTCGTTACGGCTTACGGCCTACGGCCTAGGGCTTTAATGAATATTTTTCAAATATTGGCCCAGATCTAGCTAGAAAAATAGATTATTCAAATTCCAATTTTGAAACCTATGTCAAAAATGCTCAATCAGAATTTGCGGCTTTCCAACCTGTTACTGTCAGTCATGTCTCTCATCTTTTGCATGGGCTTTCCAACAATAAAGCCACTGGCATCGATAAAATCTCTTCCAAAATTATTAAATTAGCTGCACCTGTTATCTCAGATTCACTGACACTTATTTTCAATCAGGCTATTACTTTATCTTCTTTTCCTGATGAATGGAAGGTTGCTAGAGTGATGCCCCTATATAAAAATGGCCAGCGTAGTATTCCTGGAAACTACAGACCAATATCAGTTTTACCGGCCATTAGTAAAATTATGGAACGGATATTGTATGATCAACTGTATAACTATTTAACAAAATTTGAGCTTCTCAGTGATTCCCAATTTGGATTTCGAAAATTTCACTCTACAACTAGTGCACTACTAGACTGTACTAATGATTGGTATGTAAATCTAGACAGAAAAATGTTTAACCTAGTAGTTTTAATTGATTTGAAGAAAGCCTTTGATACTGTTGATCATCAAATTCTGCTGAACAAATTAGAGCTCTATGGAATAAAAGGACAAGCTCTAACTTTGCTCAAACCCTATCTCACAAACAGAAACCAGAAGTGCCAAATAAAAAACTCATTTTCATCTGAGCGCTTGATTAAATGTGGTGTACCACAAGGCTTTATATTAGGGCCATTATTCTTTTTGTTGTACATCAATGATTTGCCACATTGTCTAAACAAAACAAAACCGCGGTTGTTTGCTGATGACACAAATTTGACTGCTTCAGCAAATTCTATGACTGACCTAGAGACTGCAGTAAATTCTGATTTAGAGAACCTTAGAAAATGGTTAATAGCCAATAAACTTAGCCTCAATGTAGCTAAGACAGAGTTTATGTTGATTGGCTCTAAACCTATGATCAAAAATATTTCTGATTCTTGCCCAAATGTTTACATTGAAAATATACAAATTAAACAAGTTCATGAATGCAAAACTCTAGGAGTAACAATTGACCAGCATTTATCTTGGAAAAGTAATACCGAAAATATTTGCAAAAAAGTTACAGCAGGAATCTCTGCTATTCGTCGGATCAAACCATTTGTTGATCAAGATACACTTATTTTGATATATAACACTATTGTTCGTCCGTACTTTGACTACTGCTGTGAAGTATGGGATGTATTTGGCGAAACTCAATCAAAACGACTGCAAAAACTGCAAAATAGAGCTGCAAGAATTATTCTGAATATAAGCAATGAGGCGTAGATTATACGATTGCGTTACGTACTTTGGGCTGGGAGCCACTCCAAACTGAAAGGAAGAAAACTAAAGCAAGAATGATGTATAAGTTATTAAACAAAATGGGCCCAAAATCACTCACAAATCTATTTTCGTTTAAGAGTGAGAAAACTAATTACCACCTTCGGGATGTCTCAAGTGGTCTTTATTTACCAAAACCACGTACAAATAGCATGAAAAATAGTTTTATGTACGACGGAGCAAACATTTGGAATTCTATACCAAAAGAAATTAGGGAAAGCAAGTCACTTTCTTCCTTTCGAAATAAAATCGCTGCTCACATTAGTGCTTGGTAACCTTTGTAAATATAACTTACCTGTAAATAGCTCAAAACATTTGTTATATCTTTTAAATTTATATATTACTGTAATAGCTTAGCTTATCCTTATCATATTCTGCATGTAAAATAATTTTCTGGCACACGCCCCCCGTGGAAATTAGCTACGGTTGACGGGGTCAGCGTGGATAAATAAAGTTCTACTACTACTACTACTACTACTACTACTACTACTACTTCTACTACTACGCGCGTTTAGAATTATTTGAAGTTTTGCATAAATTACAAGAAAATGTTTTATATTACGATACTGATTCGGTAATTTACATTGAAGATCGTGCACGAGATAAGTATATAGAAACGGGTAAGTATTTGGGTCAAATGACTGATGAATTAAGCGAAAAAGATGCGAGCGAAAAGTGGATCGAGCAATTTTGCACAGCCGGCCCCAAAGCGTATTCGTATCGTACAAACTAGTACAGTAAAACACAAGAGGATGGTAGTATGGAAAAAAGACGCGATGAGGTTACACACGTAAAAGGTTTTACGTTGAAGGGTGACGCGAAAGGATTACCTTTGAATCCATTAAATCGTGTGTGCGAAACAAAACGCAAGAAATTCTAATTACGTATCGTGAGCTTGCGCGATGTAATATGCAAACAATAGCCGTGGAATATAATAAGAAAGAATTTCGTTTCACTTTTGATAAACGTATAGTGCGCAGTGACTTTAGTACCGTACCGTATGAATACACGGTGTAAGTTTCGGGGTTTTGTTTCTCCTTTTTTCCAAATAGATCTCGGGCGTGGGACAAGCCGTGTTACCGTTTCATCATCCTTTCATGCTTACTATGTGCGGACCGACACAGGGTGGAAAAACTGAACTAATAAACAAAATTGTGCGACATGCTAACCAAGTTATCGTACCAACACCCGAGAAACTGCTTTACTTGTACAGTGCACAACAACCAAAAAACGACGACATAAAACAGATAATACGAGACAACTATGAAACATCGAAACTGAAAACGTCCGAGTTCGTGGATTGTAATCTGGGTATACCCAGCATAAACGAAATAAAGGATAAGTTAGGCGAGTCAACACTTTTAGTGTTGGACGATTTAATGGTGATTGCGGCCTCGACTGCGAAAAATACTGAAAATTTAAATAATATAGCTTCGCAGGACGCCACCATACGAACACCTCGGTTATCTTTGTATGTACGAATTTAAATTACGGAAATGGAAAATTACGTAAGCCTAATGCACGTGTAAACAGTCAATATCATGTAATATTTAATAATCTTTCGGATCGTAGAGATGTAGAAACAATTTCTTCGAATAAGAAAATCAAATTAAACAAAATACATACTATTCTAAAGAGTGTGGGTAAAAATCGCTACGGCTACATCCTATTTGATGGATCACCACGTAGCTATAATAACACACGTGTTCGTAAGGGGGTTTTACCCGGTGATAAAATCGTACACCGGATCATCGTAGGGTATATTTATTCTATTACCCCTGTATTCTAAATTACCCGATGACGAATTTTTCTTGATACTTTCTCTTTATAAAAATCCAGTATTCTATTTTTCGAGCCTTCAACGGATGCTGCGGGACGTAATGCACGTCGTTTTTTTTATAAAAAATTATAAATCTATGTATAAATATAGGAAGATAGGAGACAATAGGAAACAAAGGGGAAACTAGATTTTACGATAATTTGAATGATTATATTACATATATACAATAAAAGCATTAGAGACTAAGAGAATCTCGTATATTATTGGAAACCTTCGTTTTGAAAGCAATGACATCCTCGGTTGATTTGATGTCATCACTTAGAGAATTCCAGGTGACCGCTCCACTGTATGCTAAACTATTTTTCATTAACTTTGTGCTAGGTTTTGGAAGAGAAAAATTCACCTGGCTACCCCTTACATTGTAGTCATGCATTTGATTCCTTCTGGAAAATTGTGATGTTAGATACATAGGTGCATCATTATTTGCTATTTTATGCATTAATAATGCCTTATTCAAGTGCCACCTATG